CTGCTGGGCTTATGTGACTTGATTCTCAAAAAATCCAGGCCTCAATATCAGACTGTGCCTGGGAGATCACGACTCTCCTCTCAGTTCTGTTGCTTTCTTCTTGCACCACCTTAAGCAAGTCACTTTGACTTCCCATGCCTCATCTCTTCCTCTATAAAGTGAAGAAAAGGATACTTGCTCACTACTTATCAGCATTAGGTCTTAGTTAATGATTTGATTTGTGGAGCCCAAAGGACAGAAAATAAAATGCAGCTTGCTGCTCGGTATTCTGTGGCTGTGCTCATTCTACAAAGGGCAGCAGCAATAAAAAATAGGGGGAAAAATTGCCCTAAGCAGTGGAATGAGAAGATCTACTTTAAGAAGACAAAAAACAGGCCCTGCCAAGTAAGACAATGCCGTTTTTCCATAGGCAGTTTTGTGGAGGAAAACAAACAACTATGGGAAGTCGCTTTGCTTCCTCCAGCACAAAGGTGGACCAAATCAACCCACCAGGATTCATGCTTACATTTTCATAGAGACAAGGTATTTCACTCTTCCAGCTTTCTCATCACCCTGTTGCCATAACTATATAGGAAACACATAAAGCTACCGCTACCATTTAAACCCTCACATTTTGACAGAAAATTGGATGATATGACATGCTGCCTTCCAGAACAGGCGCTGTCTATCACCTTGCTGTTAATCTCTGTGATTAGTGACCTGCAATGTAAGTCAGCTATCAAAGACCACCTGTCCCTTTTGCTGTAAGCGCCTCCTAGCATATCGCTTTGTGGTGTCACACTCTCTTGTCTGGCTTTTGATTGATGGAAGTTTGTCTTTTGAGCGGTGACTCAGAAAATAAATCATTCCCCTTGCCATTCATTGAGTGCGATTCTGCAGCACAAAGCCGGTGCGGTTAATCAAAGCTCCAAAGAGCAACAAAAAGCAACAGAACCGAGAATGAGGAGGATAGATATAAAGGATAAAACATAATAAAAAGGATTATTTGGGAGCCAACCAAAGCAAAAGCAAAATAAAAAGAGCTGAAAATAAGCAGTGCGTTTACTGCACTACTGCACCAGAACTTGAAAGCTGATTTTTTGTTCCGCTTGTTGACATATATGCAAGGATGCGAGAAGAGTCCCACACCTCTGAAAAATATAACTATGTCAAGGAGTCTGATTTCACAGGCTTTAGCATGTGAGTAACCCTTTCTGGGGTCAGTGGGATTTTTCTGAGTTGAGTAAGTAAAGCCTGAAGGATGCTTCCGTTGTGAATTGTACTCCAAACCAGTTTGTGGTCCAGCTGGGATTGTACACTCAGAGGGCTGACAAAAATAAGAATGGCTATTGCCATTAATTGGCCTGGAGAAAAAAAAGAAGGTGAAATTTGATATGTTATGCAGACAGCAGTATGATGAAAGAATCAAACTGAGCCAGCAACACTGCATTACAGGACAAGAAAGTCCTTTCCAAATAGAACTGGTTCAGAGCAGAAGGCTTTTGTACTTTTATGGAGGGAGAAGGAGTGAAGGGATGGAAAGGACAATATTAGAAGCCTTGGTTTTTTATATCAGGTCCAGCAAGTTTATGGAAGCTTTTAAAATTATGAGGAGCAATCATGAGCTAGAGGCGGAAAGAAACTGGTGTTTGAGTATGTAACTGAGACGAGTGTGATTCTTTCTATTTGTGGTGTGCCAGAGAAGTCAGGAAAAATGTGAGGTGTTGATGGCACGGGTGAAATTGTAGCAGAAGTGAAGTCAAGACACAAGGAGTAGCAGATAAAAAATAACAATCCATCACAGAAACACTATGAGGCAAATTCCCTGATGAAACTACTCCATTGAAAGCAAGGTATCTAAAACATCTGGGAATTGGGCCATAAAAATGAGATGACAAGAACTGCATGTCCATGGAGAGGTGCTGGAAACTTACTTAAGTCATTTAAATGCAACAGTGCCTTCTTTAAAAAAAAACAAACAAACAACTTCATTATGTGTTTTGGGGGTGACCTTTCCAGTGGAAAAGTGTCTCCTTACAAGCGGCAAGAGAGAGAGAAAGAAAGGGCTGAGGAGAGTTAAATTTATAAAGACATGAACGAATTGGGAATTGAAGTACTGTTATAGAGGAATGTGTATGTGAATGGTGCAAATTTACAGGGCTATTTTTGATCAACTGTAGGAGGAATTTCAGTTTTTCAGCACCTTTCTTTACGAAAAGAAAAACCTTCATCTGGTGGGAATTCAGTCAATTTCCTGATGGTTTTCTGGCCATTTCCTAAGTTGCAAGGTTACTAATGGTAATTACAGACCCTGTTTGTACCTTGTGGCTCTAACTGTGCAGAAAGGTTTTCTTGGCACGTGTGCCTCTCCTGCTAGAGGGTTTTTAAATGACTGGCCCTTGGTAGGAATTGCTGCAATACTCATGAGCAGAGAGAAGCCACCTTCCCTCATTTCTTTCTCATAGAGTATAGCAACTGCTTCTCGCTCACATTTTGCTATCTCCATCCCCCGTGACAATAAACCACAATTTCAGTGTTCATTATAACAGCTCTTACTACAGCACTGTTGTGAAGGAGCCTGTTTTAAGTTGTTTTAGTAAAAGGTATAACAAGCCTGCTCCTTTTGAGGATTTCACACAAACAGAGATGGTATAAAGGAGACAAACCAATTCAATAACAATTGGGATAAAAAAAAAGTCACAATGTTTCAAGCCATAAAAAGCTTTGTTTTTTTTTAAGGGAGGAAGACAGTGCACTGAAAAACAATCAGATGCTCTATTCCTTTTACCTCTCTCCAGTGTGAAAGTACCAATATGTTTGATTCAATGCAGCAAAATATCTACCAATATTTGGTAGATCTCTTACACACTATTACTATGTTAAATTGGTCCTTTAGCATAACACCATTTTCTTCACTATTGCTTCTACATTCAGGCCTTAGTTTTTGCACCTCTCGGGCCCTTACTCTGCAAAACATTTAATATGTGTAAATTTTGGCTGGTGAGTAATCCCATTTGCATTCACTGTATTGAACATGAATGAATTTAAGTCAGTGAGTTCGGTGGATTTAAACACATGTTTAAAATCAAAGTGGTGCTCAAATCTCTGTGGATGACTTAAGTAAAGCTCAATTATAAGACACTTCTCCCTTCTCCCCCATCTTTCCATTTGTGTTCGATAGTTTCTATGCATTTTGCTGACAAATAGGAAGTGTGAACTTGGTCTGCTGCCATCACTGGAATAGATTGGGAGAGAATTGAGTGGATTTTTTTTTAAAGTAGTGTCTTAATTTCCGGGAAAAGTGCCACAGAAACCGTACAAGCCGTCGGAACTGGGTTGTGTCATTGCAAAGTTCATTTTGGAGGTTAAAGGGACAAAACCCAGAGAGCAGTCTTAGCAAAGTCAGAATTGCACAAACAGGAGTGGGACCCTCTTTTGCTTTGCCCAGCTGCAGGTATCTCACAGCTGTCCTGCAGCTCTTGCTCCCTCCTGCAGTCTCCCTTCAACTCAACAATTTTCTTAGTTATGCTTGTGCCAGACAGCTTGGCAAGTGAGGAATTAGTAATAAAATGTTGTCTTCAAGCTCCTGCATTAGTCTTATAACTTGTAGGTTACCAGAACCTGTGTTAAGAGCCTTCCATCCTGCACAGTTTTGAGAGCCACAAATGCTACATTACACCTCATGCCCTTAAACTGACCTGCACAGCTCACAGCACGTCCATCCTCGCCTATTGCACCATAGCTGTGTTGTGCTGCAACACAAATCCAGGGCATAGCATCTGAAGCAAGGCTGGGGTCTCAGAGTCATGGAGGAGTAAGATTTTATTAGTATGTTCAGGATTTAGCCTTTCAGGAGAGAAATGCCAACAGAATATGATTCAGTCCTTGCCAATGCATTTCTGTACATATTTGCTATGAAAAAGACCAAGAACTGATAGGTGTTTTCCGATCTTCTTCCTTTCTGTTTTTAAGTACTGCTAGTAAACAACAATATCCTGGTGTGGCATTTAAAGACTCAGCTTCTGTTCTTCAGTGGTCAGGAGGACTCAGTTCCTAAGAAACTCAGCCTGTAATTACAGATTTCAATGTCTGGTTTGTGGGTTTTATCAGTATTTTTCCTCATAAACCAGTTTAGGTATTCAAAAACATATTTTACCATCTTGCTGCAAGTCATTGACGTTTTTTCTGTGGCTTCTGTTGAAATTAATAAACTTAAAGTGAAAAGACAATTTATTAATTATTTTGACAAAAATACTTTTAATACGTGTTTCTGATATCAATTTTCTCTGTGTGCAGATGTGTGGGCTTGCACACTGATGCATATATATATTGGTTTTCCCACAGGCATAAATCCCAGGCCATGCTGTTACACGAAGCAGAGCACTATCATTTATTTACACTTTCTCAACTCTGCTTAAGTTCTAATATATTTCCAGCTGAGTAAAGATGAGCCCTCTGAATAGGAAGACATTTTCATCTGATTTCCATCCATATCTCACCTTCATTCTTCTTTTTACCCTCTCCCTTCCCACTTGTCTTCTTACAATGTCTCATTCTTTTGTTCATTCCTTCTAACCTCATGATCTATCACAACACTTTTAAAACTATAGGACAGCATTTTTCCAAAGTCCTCTGTCTGCCCAAATAGAGACATTTCATCATGGCCTGATTTCCCAGAGATTAGGTGACTGATGTACTGAATACATACCTCCTGGAGGTGTCTGAATCACTTCCCATGGAAAGAAGACACAGAAAATCACAGTTTCAAATCCCCAAGTGCGTGCCCAGTTCAGACAGAAGCAGGTTGCTGCGTGTGCGGGTCCCGCTAGTTGTGGCAGTTATTAAATGACTCGCACATAACTGAGCCTTGCTTTCCATCGGTAATTGTTCTAAGTGGGTTTTCCTGCAGTCCATTAAGTAACCTCTTTTTTGTTCATTGCAAGAATGTATAAAGAAGGCAAATTAGCCTTTGAGTGCCCAAAGGCATGAACCTAGATCCTATTTCTTTTACTCTCTCTTTCAGGTTATTCCAATCTGACCACCACACAGACGTCATTATTTTAATGTTGAATAGTCAGACAAGGGTGCCATGGATGTAAAAGAAAGGAAACCGTATCGATCTCTGACTCGGCGCCGCGACACTGAGCGTCGCTACACCAGCTCTTCAGCTGAGAGTGAGGACAGCAAGGTACCCCAAAAGTCCTACAGCTCCAGCGAGACCCTGAAGGCTTATGATCAAGACTCCAGGTTGACCTACAGCAATCGGGTCAAAGACATGGTGCACCAGGAGGCCGATGAATTCTGCCGAGCAGGTGAGTACATTTCAGCAGATGCTGCTGCAACCAGCAGGAGTTAATCAGCTGAGAGCTGGGGCTGGGTGGGAGGCTACCTTTGAAGGATTCTGAGGCCAAAAGCAAGATATAAGGAAAAAGAGCAGCAAGGAACATCTTCATTGTATTGCACAGATGTGGGATGCGTGCAAACCAATGTCCTTAAGTGGGATACCACTAGCCTGTGTTCATTAGCATCTACTAAGACACATTTTCTGTGTCATTTTCTGTGTCTTAGTCTTTCTGCCTCCAATAGCCCTTTTCCACTTCCCACCATGAGACCAGACCTCCTGTGCGCATGCTGCGCAGGACTGACATGGTGTGGAAAGTCCCTGCCTCCTCAGGAGACCTTTTCACTATGCCATGTGCCTGCTCTGTCATGAAGAAAGTCAACAAGGATCCCAAGGCAGAAGACAACCAGGGGAGGCTGCCACTGTCCACACTGTCCATCTGGGCTACAGCAAAACCCAAGAAGCCTGGAAGAAGGGAGGCATCTGAGCTGCAGATGGGATGAACCACCTTCAGCATTGTGCATGGCCTGCAGGCTGTAGGTTTGAGATGGGAACTTGCTCCAGTATTAGAAGAGTGGTAAAAAAACACTTTTAGGACTTTTAAGACTCCATTTAGTAAACCTGGGTCACAGGAGCTGTGAAGATGTGGAGGTTCACGGGTCAGCATGGGCTCCGCAGTCCTAATACAGATTCCAGATATTCTCCTTTTTATCGCTAGCCTGAAGTCAGTGCAGTCATATTTTCACTGCTGCTGTTGCCTACGTGAGGTAGATTTCTGGCCCCTGCTACAGTCTCATCTTCATTTTTCTGTAGAGACACGAATGACTTAGCTCAGAAACCAAGCAGGGCTTCATATAAATTATTTTTAGAAGTCCATCAAGAAAAGCATAAAATGGCAAAGCGAGTCAAATGGAGTAGGCAGCATTCCAGACAATGAGCATAAAAGAGCTGACCCAGGCTGCTCTGAGCGCACCCTCTGCGGTTTGGAGAAGCTGATTCCCCAAAGGGAATGCATACAACTGCGCTCGTTTAACTTGGGGGCTGCTTAATTTCACACTTCAAACACCATGCAGTTGTGGTTTTGCTGCAAGACTCATCTTCAAAGCATGAACAAGCAAAATGACTTGCAGAAGTATCTTCGTGCACATGGCTTTGGTGTTTGTACTTCAGGATAACTGCAACAGGCAATAATTAACAAAAGGGCCAATAGGTGTTGTAAGTAATACTTTGCAATCATAAAAGGAGTTTCCCTCTTAGCAACTCTGAAGTACTTCATCCCCTCTAAGGAATCTACGAAGTTATAAAGAAAAGGAAACCTTTTAGGTCACTGAGTTTGCTCACTTCATACAATATATTCACCATGCAGGATAGATGTGAATTAGTACAGGTCAGCGGTTTTCAACCTGAGGGTCTATGAGGCCATGCAGGTCCATGGATGTCTCCTAAGAAGCCCACAAAAGATAAATAAGAAAAGCCAGTCTGCTGACAGGGAGTATAAATTTGCTATACACAAGTTCATACTTCCCTAGGAAAATTTTGTTGGGTACTGAGAAATAGTCAAAACCACTGGTCTAAATGGCTGAAATTAATTGAAAAGAAGTTAAGATTAACAACATCAGGGCACCAGTTCTACTTCTGATATATCACCCACAGATTTTTCAATTTCTAATTTTCTCCCAGTTTATCCTGAAAGTCCCAAGACTGGCCTGAAGAGTGTTAACAATTACCCCAGACTTTCCGTGCCACATTTTCCACTGGCACAAAGCCATGAATGGACCTCACTTTGTGGTGCTGCTTGGGCTCATGCCAACTGAAACCAAGCCTTATTAGCGTGCTCGACATCAACAAGGCAAAGTGAATTTCTCTCCTGCATTGGTTTGGAAGGCAGAGGAGGGAAACATTTCAAATTGACCAAATAAATTCAGTAAATAAACAAGTCAGCATTTAAATGGTTTTAGCTAGAGTGAGAGTGCCAGCAAACACGCAAGTCAGCACAGGAAAAAATAGACCAGATCTGAATTAAAAAGCCTCAGATATTTATTATCTTCCTTTTATTGACTTGAGTTCTTCCAGCTTAAAAGGCAACAGTGAGCATAGAATATGAAAATCGATGCATCTCCTGCTGTTTATTGCAAATAAATTTGATTTTCAGTTAATTGTAGCAGCCATTTTTCATAATTTATGAGCTACTGTTACTGGAGAGCATCAGTCACGCTGCACATTGATGTGTCTGATGATGTTGGCTTGTTTCAGGGGAAGGTGGAACTCGCCATCAGTGACTGAAACGTGCAAGCAAAACCAAAAGATGGCATTTTCCAGTACTTCACGGAGGATGGTTTAAAAACTATCTGGCCTTGCACAAAAGTCAAAACTGGAAGAGACGAGAGAAGTCTCTGGAGAGATACTGCTTCCTTATGTTTACAACTTAGGTCAAGTTCATTTGCTGCCTCATCCCGTGGAGCAGCAGAGGATGCTCTCTCAGACTGCTTTGCAATCAAGTTAAATGGATTAATTTGCCACAAGCTTGCACTGTGCTCCCTGAGCAAGGCCCTAGGATTTGACGGAGGTGTGAGCCCCAAGAAACCTTATCTGTCCGCTCTGTCTGAAAGCTTTAATCTTGTTTTGTCAATTAAAAAGGTGTGAGGTTCATGAATGCTTTATATAGTTTGAGTGCTATCAGCTGTAGATCCGTAGCCAGCTGAACTATGGTTATTTTGTCCTGACGTCAAACAGTTCCTTCTCCAAGCTTTATGTGGAAATGTTGTCCAGTCCCATTATTCACCTTGCATTCAAACATCTTCTCTCTGCTCACTATGAGCTGCAAAGCCAACCGAATTAAAAAGTGTAATAAAATAGCATCTACTCCAGGCTAGCTGATCAGTCAATGCATGTGTGCTATAATATGAGAGACCTTCCCCATACAGCAGGGCTCAGGGACAAGCCAGGGAGTTTCCACAAGTGTGAAACCAGACTCTGGAAAAGTAGAAATCTGACTGTTTCTATTGGATACACATTTTCCAGCATGTGATATTTAACTTCAACAAATGGAAATGTGAGGAGAGCCACATGCATGTGTGGTTTTGAGCAGGGAGAGAATCATAACTCAGTTGTGGATACAACCTTGAGGTCCAGACCTGATGAACTGATTTCAATAACAAGTAGGTATGAACTTCAAAGCTAGGTTTGGTCCTGAACTTTCCTGGAGATCATGCATTCAGATTTATCTTGTCAAAACATGCCTGAGCTGCAAACACTGCTCTAAAACTGAGTGTGTGGCCTGCGCATAGATTTGGCAGGTTCCACCTCTCTTTTTATTGCAAGGGATTTACTTATTGAAATAATGGGAAGAAGCCAGCTAGACTGAATTTGATCACCGGTGTTGGTATTTGGCCATGATCCAGGGCCTGATGCCTCCTACCGGTTATAGATAAAGTTCCTTAATCCACCCCATCAAGGCGTAGCATAACAGGAGCAGGGGTGCATTGTGCCACATAAATGCACGGTGCAGCTAAAGGCATTCATGGGTGGTCAAAATCTTTTAAAGACATTCAGGGCTCAAAAATAAAAGCACACATTAATAAATAAATGTGGATTAAAATGGAGCCACTAATTGCTCTCCCCAGCTCTCTTGTGCAACTTTCTCAACAAAGTGTGCTAATATTTGAAGCCTCATTCACATCGATTCAGTCTGATTTTGAAGCTCTGCAGGTAACTAGACATGAACTTAAGAGCCATTTTTCAGGTTATATTTTTAGTCAGCTAAACAATTGCATCTATTTGCAGCCAAATAACCTCTGCTGTGACTGTATCAGAATGAATAGCTAAACTGAGTCAAGGTGTGAGTGGTCAGCAAGGGGAAAGTGAGATCGCCAAAGGAAATTTAAATCCCCAGTATGTAATTTCAGGGATTTCAATGAGCAGAACCCACTCAAATTTCCTATTGTAGTACAGCTGCCAGGTGTATGGTAGGACTTTTGATCACTGCATGCTTCATTTTGCTTTTCTCCCAAGAAGATTACTTTTTGCCTCTCCTAAAGAATTTCACTATTTCTCCATCTGTCTTTGCTTTCAAATTTGATTGTATCATTGAACATGCCCTGAGTTTTCGTCAGGTTCCAGAAGCAGGAATCCAGCTGCTTATTAGTCTTGGCATGGTCACTTGGTCTCCCACTAACCAAGACCACAAAACAGGGGAATTTTTGGTATGATGTTAGGACTTGGGAGCTGCTGTGCCCCACTTGAAGACAGAGGATGAACGGTTCTGCCATTGTCTTGTGCTACATGAAACCATCCCCTATTAAAGAGTAACCAGGCTGCTGTGTTTTCTTCCAGGAGCCAACTTCTCTTTGCGAGAGCTGGGTCTTGAAGACGTGACACCCACACATGGGACTTTGTACCGGACTGATATCGGGCTGCCTCACTGTGGCTACTCCATCAGCGCCGGCTCAGATGCTGACACGGAGGCAGACGTGGTCATGTCACCCGAGCACCCCGTGAGGCTCTGGGGGCGCAACACGAAGTCTGGACGCAGCTCCTGCTTGTCGAGCCGGGCCAACTCCAACCTCACCCTCACCGACACGGAGCACGAGAATACCGAAACTGGTAAGTGGTGACAGTGCATGTGATGTCAGCCTTGAGCTCTACCAGAAAAATTTTTTTTTTTTTTTTTTTTTTTTTTTTTTTTTTTTTTTT